TTTCCCTTATATGTACAGGCACATACAGAATATGTAAAAACAGAACTCAGCACCGCGGAGAAAAAATATTAACCCTTCTTCATCAACTGACAGAGTAACTGGTTTATAACAGCCATGCCTGTTATCTTTTACCCTGAAGGATCCCCAAAGGATTTTACAACCCAGAGAAAGTCATAAACTAACAGTGTATCAGCCAGGAGTAAAATACGGCTAACTACACAACGAAGCAGTTTATTTTGCACGAGCAATACCGCAACAGCCCAGGGCAAATCATCCAGTTGAAACGGAAGCATTTAATTACCCCAGCATGACCTGCTATCTAGGGTTTTAGGATAGTCTTTAAGGCATTCTCGCTAAAAACTAAGCATTAGCAATGTCATTAAAACCAATTATCAAGTAGGCGAGATGTTCCAACACAGAACCACCCTAACAATGTTGTTGGTACATGTGAGATGAGCAACCACCATTACAAATCAACTAATGAACAAAGTATATGCTTCACGTAGGGGGATCACTCCCCCTCATTCAAGCCTTCTAACTGTAGACTTTCTGAAACAGGAAATGCCGCAACGTCTTTGCTTTATTTATAATAATGGCTGTAAACGAATAAGCTCTCCCAAATGCACCTGGGGCCTCTTCCTCTCGATTCCTGCAACTGTTTTTATCACAAGGCAATGAAACCTTTGCAGCATGTGGCTGTATCTGGTAGCTGTGACACACAGCTATGAACAGCGAAAAGAAACAAATCTCGAGCGCAGAGAAGGAAGACTGAAGATGACATTCATCCCACACCTACGCGGCAGAACATTTAGAAATGTCAGGCTACCTCCGACAAAATGCAAGGGCTTCAGGCAGGCAGCTTTATCATTTCTCCTGCCCTAAAGTGGCTCTGCTGTATAAAAGTGCATGCCTTCTAATTACAAACTGTACCCGTACGGCCACGATCTGACATTCAGAGCAAAAATCAGTTGAGTCTGTTGGAAAATCCTCCTGTTGGGGATCTAAGCTAATGCAGCAACAAGAGTCTAAAAAAATAATCTCCCCATGGCCCCGATTTGGTTCGCATTGCAATGTGGTTTCAATGATTTTTCCAGCAAATGTCCAAGTATGGCCTTAATGAAGGATTATAGCACTTGGTTCTTCCAAGTGATGATGAGAATGGGACTCCAGATTATAGTTTCTAAAATGGTAATTAAACAAGGAAAATGAAACGGGACGCTACTATCTGGCTCTGTGTCTTGCTTAATGAAGATAAATTCAACCTCTTTCTACATATGTTAATTAACAGCTGTTTCACATGCTACTAACAAGTGATACTGATTAAAAATGAAAACAAACGACAATAAACATATAAAATCTTACAGCACTCAAGGCTGTGAAGTTAACCTTCAAAACAGGTATAAATCATCTCATTGCAGCACTAAGCCGTTAATTCACTACTTGACCTCCTACACTCAGAGTATGGAAGAGCACAATTCTTGTTGGTGAAGGCCACATTCCAGGGCTCAAAGCAAAGTGAGTGGAGGTGAAGCATAAGTGGAATCTAAGGATGGGAACCTTATTTTACAAGAAACAAAGGGATATTGTTGGAAGAACAACATTTGCAAGGTCAGTTACCTGCAATAGCCGTTTGGAAAAGCGTTCACACACATCACCACCAATACAGCCAAAAAGCCAGTGACCGTGTCTTTCTATCACAGTCTCTAGGATTCCTCTGCACAAGCACCATGTCCCAAGCTACTCTGAACATTTTTCAGGTGGCTTCTATATCACTGTTCATTTTATATAAACCTCACAGGACACCTTTTTGTCCATAAACTCACCGTGCCTGCTAATGAACCGTATGCAGCTCTCCACGACCAGAGGAATGGCTTGTGAGGAATCCTGCGCAAAGAGACATTTAAACAAGAAGAGCAGTCAGATAGGGAGTGATAGGGGGGTGATGAAAATAAAATAAAAAAAATAAAAAAAAGAAAGCAAATTTATCCTCTCATCTGCCATATCCTGCTTCCATGCAGATCCAGATGTCTTTAGTTTCTGGACTCGTTACCAAACATCTCAGATAAGAGCAATTTCAGGACTGCATCAAACTCCTGCTCTTTTGTCACAAACATTTAAGCCCATCAGTACCCTACAATCACAGTCCACTAAGCAGGGTGCACTGTACAGGTACCCACGCATGGAAAACAGGGTCTTCAGTCCAAACACGGCAAAACCTTCTAGATTGCCAGTTTCCAGCTTAAACAACGTTAATGGAGGCTTTCAGTATGGCAACAAGCCTTTACACTTCCCCAGTCTCTGCTTCACAGCATCACTGCTTACTTTTCAGACAACTGAATTTCTGCAAGGTCTGCAGTTATTCCTCCCATTTTGGGGAACGGCAGCTAAGCAACACAAGTGCTGCAGTTTGCTTAAGGTCAGATGCCAGTGATTAAAATCACCACGTGATTAAAACTCCCAAGTTTCTGTTTATGTGTAGCCTCTTCTGCAGCAGTTTTGGACAGCAATGCCTCTGATTTGTATCAAAATGCTCACTTGTTAGGATGCTACAGCATCATGCTTCAATCGGCTCAAAAGGATGCCAGTGCCCTGCTCAAAAATATACATTAAAAAACCCCCAGTTCAACAGTTTTCCCAACTTGTTTACTTTTAATGGTTTTTTTGTTTTATTGCAATGTCATAGAACTTGGTCATACAGCGACAATTAATAATTTCTCTACTAATTAGCCATAGCCAGTTGGAACTAGCTTTCTATATGCTGTACAGCACCAACCAATTAAGAATACTTCAGAAGCCAGTCTGCTGCTCAACTGGCCCCTGAGGACAGGCTTTATTAATAACCATCCAAACAGCATTATAACCCCCCAGACTTATTTTGGAGCTTGACAGGAGGGACCCCCAGAGAAGCCCAAATTCTGGGTCCCCAGCAGAGGTTAAAACTCTCAGAGCAGTCATGTTTTAAACTGCTAGGTCGCAATCAAAAAAACCCCATTAAAATCATATGCAAGGAATTTCGTGGAGGTTACTGCGAGCTGTGGATTCAGGGTTTGCAGGCAGATTAGCTTTTAATTTAGGTTTCCAAATCAGAGGCCAGCCTGTCAACTCTACTCAAGTCCGAATATGCTTCTGAGGCACCTCAGAAACTAAAAGCAAAATGGCAATCAAGACACACGCATCCTTTATTTTCAGCATAGGAAAGGACTATTTTCAGAGCATAAATAAAGGAACAATGAAGCTCAGAAAATGAAAAAGGTTTGACTCTGCACACCAAACCCATGACCAGCTCTCTTACTTAATTTCCAACATACAGGGGTCCTAAAAACTACAAAGCAACACCCCAAGGCAGACTCTATGAAATGAAATTCCAAGCCAGATTTTGTCTTTTCCAGTATCAACAAGAAATATTTTGGGTTTTCCCTATCTCAAAGAAACATATTTTTAGCTCATCAGGTACTAAAAAGTAACAGATTATCCAGCACAGCCAGGAAAACAAGGCAGCCCTGTTGCAAGTCTTTAGTACAAGGCGGCACAGTTGCTGGTTTAACAGCACTGCAGTGGGATACTGGTGACAATAAAGAGAAAGGGGACAAAGAAGCACCAGCATGAAACCCATCAACCATCACTGTCTAGACAGCTCGAGGCTGGTTTGGCGTTTTGGGTTCCAGGCCTGTCAAAACACAGCGTAAAATGATTTTAAATTTTTGTCAAAGAAAATGAATCAAGGCTGTGGATCCATGTTTTAGGGATTTCAGTTCCTGACCACGCAGACACCAGATCCGCTTGAACAAGGCTGAAAAGGGCAACGTAAGAGAGGCAGGGAAGGATAAAAACACTTCCCTGTCTTCAATCTATCCTTCTCTACACAAAACCACGCTCATCCCTGTTTTGCTACTTAAGGCAATGTTTATTACCTGCTTCCGTATGGTGGAGCTGCGCCTGCCGCTGAGGAGATCAGAACCACCCATGGGTGCAGGAGGGAAAAACAGAACAGAAAAGTCAAGATAAGCCTCTATCATCATCGTTCTCCTTCATGCGGCATTCCAAACCCCGCACAGGAGGAGGAGGGAAGGAGCCGGATATACAAGTCAATCATAACGACTTAGTCTCACTGAATTTATGGAACTTCAGAAAGATTTTAAGTGACTTTAAATCACTAAAAACCCAAAATAGACACAAGGGAGTCCACTGCTTTGACAAAAGATTATCCTTGAGGTTTTAATTCCAACCATCTGGAAATCTGTTATATAGGGCTCCTTGTTCAAGATGAAGTTTATTATAAATTGCACATAGCTGTTCTCCGAAGGAGCCCCTCTACAGAGGGGGGAAGCAGGTGGGAGCACGCTGGTTGCTACCGTGCTGTTATTAAAGTCTTTATTAAAAGTTTCTGATAAGACTTCAAATAAATAAATAAAACAACCCCCCTCGAACCCCAGCACACACTAGTCAGGCTAAATCTTTTCAGTATAAACCATGATGGTCTCATTTATTTACGTTGGCAGACAATAACTGCAGAAAAATAGGAAAAGAAGCATTCCTTGGCCAGGATTTTCCCCTCAAAATTTATTACTGGGGCTTTAAATTCCTATAGTTTCTTGTAAAAATGAAGCATGAGAGACAATAGTAAGAGAAGCCCTAATGTATCATTCAAGCCAATTCCCTGCTAGGGCAGATGGCTGCTGAATTATGAATAAGGTGATTAGAACTGTGATTTTTAAAAAGACTGTACAATGTGTTAATTCAGGGGAAATTCCCTTTATAAAAATCAAAAACACTGAACCAAAAAAAAAAAAAAAAAGAAATCAGATTCCATGGGCTGTCACAGACAATAAGGTCTATTTTAAACTATTAGCAGTAATGATTCTTTGATATTTAAAATTGTTTCATGATGAACAATATTTTATTATTACAGATGTCAGGCTCTAATTAGGACCTGTCAGCTTTGCTTTACCGTAAGGAATGTGAAAAGTAGTAATGACTCCAGATCAGCAGTAATCACCTTCCTTTTGGTAACACGGCAGAATGATGCACAGCCCTATCCAGCTCCTCGTGCCCAGCGGAGCCCCCTGAATCCATCAATTTGGAGACGGAGATTTGTTATGTTTTATAAAAACCCCATCAGGAGAAGCTTAGTTATGGTTCTGTGATTGGTCTTAATTACAAATGAAAAGTTTATTCTGTGTGACCTCTATGCTGCTGCAAGCCAGTTCCACGGCACAGCAGAGAGCATCGATGGGATAAAGAGTTTTCCAGTTTACGTTACTCAGCCCCGTACACCAACCATGTGCGTAAACCCTGCGGAACCACGGGCCCATCTCCCTTACAAAAATAGGAATGTGTTTATAAAAATCCTAGTTCAAAGAATACTTCTCCGGACGACAGTGCCAAATTAAACAGTTTCTCACACCTGCCCATCCCCTTCCTGATCTGGATTAAATGCACCAGAGCAAGGAAAAGTGCAAGACATCTAGCTATCTTTTTTTTTTTTTGACCCCCCCTTTGGCTATTTTTAACCCCAATCAGTTTCCCAGCCTGGCAGGCGTACGGTCACGACTGCGGTGGCTGCACAGGGCAGCAACAGGCACGGAGAGGTGTTTAAGCAGGCACCGCATCCAAAGAAACATTCGTTACTCATTGAATCATAGAATCATGGACTGGTTTGGGTGGGAAGGGACCCCCAGAGGTCACCCAGCCCAACCCCCCTGCAGGAGCAGGGACACCTTGAACCACATCAGGTTGCTCACAGCCCCATCCAACCTGGCCTGGAATGTTCCCAGGGATGGGGCCTCCACCCCCTCTCTGGGCAACCCCTGCCAGGGTTTCACCACCCTCACTGGAAAGAATTTCTTCCTTAGATCCAGCCTAAACCTCCCCTGCTTCAGTTTAAAGCCATCCCCCCTTGTCCTGTCCCAGCTGGCCCTACTAAAAAGCTTGTCCCCCCCTTTCCTCTGGGCCCCCTTGAAGCCCTGACCGGCCGCACTCAGCTCTGCCCGCAGCCTTCTCTTCTCCAGGCTGAACACCCCCAACTCTCCCAGCCTGGCCTCAGAGCAGAGGGGCTCCAGCCCTCGGAGCATTTTAGTAGCCCTCCTCTGGCCCCGCTCCAACAGGTCCATGTCCTCCTTGTGCTGAGGGCTCCAGAGCTGGACGCAGGGCTCCAGGGGAGGTCTCACTGCGACTGCTGCAGTACTCGCCCCAGAGCTGCTTTCGGCTGACCGGAGGGGACTGAACATAGGTACAAGCTGTGCCACCACCTTGCGCTCATGTAGGTAACAGCCATGGTGTTTAAAGCCATGTTACCTAGCAGGAATTTCCTTATACATTAACTAAACCAGTATCTTTTTCTAACAGATACATATCCTGGGCTGGTAACTGATCCGGAATGGCAGTGGCCAATTTGCATCAGATGTTGCTTAAAAAGAAAAGAAAAGAAAAAAAAAAAAAAGATCCCCTGAGCCGCACCTACCTGGCAAGGGAGCAGTCAGTCCTTTGACCTGTTAAGATGACAAAGAAATACAGCATTAGGAGGAAGGAACAGGAAAATACTTCCAACTGCTTTGTAAAGCCAGGTTTGGAAGGAGGCGGAGGAGTAAAACCCTCAGAGGGAGAGGGCAGCTTTGTGGAGCCGGAGAGGGGCTGCCTCCCCCAGGAACGCTGCCGGGGAGACCACCGAAACCCACCCCAACCGGCACAGCTCCTCCCCAGCCGACCAGGAAACGCAGCGAACAGCTCAGGCTGCCCGAAGACTCTTTCTTTGGAAAGTATTGTTTTTGAAAATTAGTTCCCTGTGCATTCTAATTGTTGACTCCTGCTGCCAAAAAACTGGGCTTGTCAACCTCTCCCTCCCTTCCCCTTCCCAGGGGAATCGGTGGGGCGAGAGATTATACTTTATAAAGCCACTTAGTAAGACTGAAAACATTCACGGATTTGTTAGCCCACAGACTAAACGTGCTGGCATTAAGCTATTTTGGGAGACAGACGTTTAATGATATTTTCCACAAACATATTTATAAAAACGTTCCATTAACTTGCACTGAGTTTGGAAGGAAGCAGCCGAGCTAACGACTACTGCTAATGGAGGCATCATTTTAAAATAGCACAACAAGGAGTAAGAGAGACAGAAAACTAGTACGTGCCTTGGGGAATTGTACAGGCCAGATCTTTTGCTGGTACAGCTCATTGCCAGTGAAACCCTACTGATTTACAATAGCTGAAAAGCCACCTTCCCTACGATGCCTTCCTGCTCCTGGGGAGACAGAAGAATGAACGAGGGAAACGTCTAATTGCTGATGGCTGACAATTAGTCGAAGACATCTCGATAGCCACTTTCCTCTCCCCACGTAAAGCCAAACCAGTGCATAATTTACATGAAAATGTTATTCTGAAGCAGAATTTCCAGCCATCTGTCCCACTTCCATCACAGAATATTCATATATATAAATTACATGGCTGTGGCAACATCAAGGGGCTCCTACATTAGGGTGACAAATGTGTACAGTAGGCAGGGACATAATTACTTGTAGATAGGAAGACTTGCTGGTATTTTTATTACTGGAACTTGTCATCTTTAGATTAAGGTAATTTGCGAGAGGACTAATAAATGTCACCTGAGGATGGGGTAAAGAAGAATAAAAATCCTAACAAAAATGCATTTTCCAGGGACTGAAGACACGCAGCCTACGCACATTTTTTAGTAAAGCTTCTAACCATGCTCCAGGGATGGGTGAAAGGAATTTTATTTGCCCATTTCCCAACTAAGTGACACATTATGGATAAGCCTAGGCATGGTCCCCAGTTTGTACCATTAACCTGCTAACGTGGTTTTGGAGACAAAATGTACCTCCCTTTCTCAGCTCCTTTTGATCTCACAGATAACAGAAGTGATTTTTTTTCAGAAGCTGCTGGAGCTCACCCTGACACACACTGGGTCCCTTCACAGAGGGGCTAAGAAAGCTCTGGTACTGCAAAGCTACCACAGAAAAAACAGAAGCAGCCTTTAAATCTACATAGCAATACAGAAATCGCATTTAATTTCCCTCCTCTTTTCCCCCTACCACAGCTTGAGATGGGTTCAAGGGGCAGGCAGGTTAAAGGGAAATAGGTCTCGGTATGCAGAGGTCAGCTGTGATCCAGGAACGTGATTAGTCACAGGGGCAGCACGGGTGTCACTTGGAGATATTTAGAGGCAGAAGAAAAATACCCTAAGGCCATAGATCTTTGGCTTCATCCACCCTTTCTACAGGACAGCTGAAGAGCCGAGCAACTTTAAACAACAAAGCTCGAAACCACGGCACCATCCTTTCCTTACCTTCCAGGGGTTTGGGTCTGATAAACATGAAACTCTTAATTGCTGTAGCAGTAAGTATTTTATTGTTATAGTGCCTTTTTAAACTGAAAGCGAAGCAGTTCAAAGACCACATGCTGTTTCAGTTTTCATTCAGAAGATTTGCACACCGTAAACTGTGGGGAGCCCAGTTAAGTTTCATACCACAACACAAGCCCCGCTCCAGCATATAAACCCAGGAACGAGTCGAGCCATTTTTTGACCTGACATTTAGACTGTTAAAGCCTTCTCCTCTGCAAATACGAGGCAGACAGGTTTCTATGGAAACTTGGATGCATAGTTTAAGCCTGTTTGGCCAACAGGATTTGCCCATACCATGAAGGGAAAGAAGTCTTCCTTTGTTCTGACGCTAATAGCAAATGCATATTTAGTTCTGGCTGCTGCCCCTTGCCTAATGCCCTCTAGATAGGCAACATATTTTACATGCTCTGAAATTTGTTTGCTATTCTCCTGCTACAAGCCCGTGCTCACATGCGCTAGTTTGGTCTGTATTGAACCCACAGAGGTGAGAAGCAGCTAAACTAGGATGCAATGAACCTTCCGACCAGCCTACCGAGGCAATACTCCTCAACTAATCCGTAAACTGTAAATCACAAGGTTTACCCCAACACAGATTATTAAGCAAGAAGCAGAATGTGGGTGTATGGGGAGAGGACAGGATGAACAAACGGGCATATGCTTCATTTTAACAAATAAGCGATGCACATTAGTGATTCATTAAGTGTTCTCCATTCACCATTAATCAAGCAGCCATGTAGGTCATTTGGCTTCTCCATCATGCAGATCGGAAAAATAAATTCATAAAACATGAGTATGTCCACTTTGCATCACTAATCCAAGACCGTTACACTCAGCTGACTAATTCAACAAGCGCAACAGCCTGGCTAATAGCAGTGACGAGCGGGTCCCAGACTCACTTTCTCCCAGGGTCTTCTGAAGAAGGTCGTGTTTGGCTTGGAGCTTCGTTATCAGGTTCCTGCCTTCCAGATACTCCTTCATTTTCTGTGAAGGTGGAAAGAACCAAGATTATGAGTGGGCAATTAATTTCTTCGATTGCATCTTTAGGTTCCTGGATTCGGAACGTGATGCTGACGTACAGAATTAACACCGAAATTGCAAAGGATGCACCAAGTCCTCCCGCTACGTGCATCCACGCCAATCTGAAGCTCGGTCCATACGTATCCGCAGTACAATTTCTATTGTTTCACTGTGGGATCAGCTGAATGTTTGGCATCTTTTAGACATCTGAGAAGCTGTCATGCATCTCCTCTCCAGACAGGGCGAAATGGAAACGCACTTCCCTCGCACGTCACCGGCAGCTGAATGAGCAATCTGTTTTAACAAACTAAAAGGCTGCTACTGTGCTTATTCTCTCACTTAACCTCTCTCACCCCGCTTTACTTGTCAAATAGTGCGTCTGCCTCCACGCTGGATGATACACAGGGTGGCAGGGGGGGGCATGGGACAAAACAAATAAAGATATTATTTCAGTTCACATTTGTTCTCTCGGTGAAATATTATACAATCACGCAGTCATTTTTCCCACTTCTTTCTGATTTTTCACAGCTCTGCAAATGCTGGGTTTTTACAGCTCTTTCATCTCCTATTTTGCAGTTGAGAACAGCATTATTTATCTTCACCGTGCTGCAGCACATGAAATACCCTGCTGTATGGTAGCCGTCCACATTATAATTAGGATGCATTTACACTCAAAACTACATAAATAGCACATAACTCTTCAAACACCACGTAACTCCTCAAATACCACAGGCTGTTCTTTAGAAACAGGAGATGTTTTAAAAACTCAGTTGGCAAAATGAACACAAAAAGGATTCTCATTTAATAATGAAACGTTCCAGTTCTTGTCTTCGCCTTTCCCCAATTCTACCCACTTTCTTCCAGTTCTGGGCTAGTATTGTCAAATTAGACTGCAAATCCTATGGTAAAAAAAATGGTATTTTAGCCAAGAGAGTGCCTGGACCCTGAGCGATGTGTACACACCCTGCGCCACCCCTGAGGGTGGGGGAAACCGTCCAGGAGCTAACGAAGTTTCCATTACGGGCTCCCCAGCAGTTGAGTGGCACCGACACGACGAGAATGGCTGAGCTGGGGCTTTAATTAACCGCCAAAAGCCTGGGGTTGCTGTCCCTTTGGTTGACAACATTGGAAGAAAAATTTCACAAGAATTCAGTCCCTTTGGAGATTCTCAGCACTTCCCGCTTCCTATACCAACAGCGCAACTTTGCTGTTGTTGTTTGAGAAGAAAACAGGAAGCGTGATCGCTGTGGCAAAAATAATTAACCGTATTTTTTGGAATTGCCCTGTAGATTCTGTTCACCAAGCCCCAACCATGTATTTTGCTAAATCAGTTAAATTTTTGCATCAAATTTGGACAGAAGACGACACAAAGAGTATAAGCTGCAAAAATAATCAGAGAATTTGAAGCGGGGATTTGTGGATAAATCTGGTTCTGGGAGGTGCTGAGCTCCCCGTCTCAAAGTCACGATCAGGCAAAGAGACAGAAGGGCTGGAAGGCTCAGCTCCAAATAGCTTTAACAGAAGCTGAAAGATCAGCAAATCAACCTGATTTGGAGGAGAGTTAAGCGTCCCTTTGAAGCAGAGACAAAAACTTAAGCTCAGCCTACCGGTGGCTGCGGGTCGGCGTGGGGCAGGCGGATTCCCTGTGCGGTGCTGGGCAGGGCACGCTGCCGGCACTCGCAGAGGCTCCGGCTTGGAGGCATTTGCAGCGACCACGTTAAGAACATCGCCCGCCCGCAGACGGGTACCAGGGATTGTGTTAAAGGAGAACAAGGTAAGGTTCCCATCCAGTGCAGTATTTCATGCGTTCCTTCCATTTCCTCATGCCTAACATTCTGTACCCTGCCTGTTACCAGTACGCTTATGAAAAAAAAAAAAAAACAGTAATTTCAAAATCAGGCTTCAGGCTTTTTTCAATGAATTACAAAAGAATCCATCAGCATTTGATTTCTGGCTTAATAAAAGCCGTCAAGGGGGGAAAAAAAAAAATATTAAAAAATCAAACTACAGGAGACCTGCTTAGGATTTCATTTCTGGCAGAGCGCAGCTGGAGTCAGACTAAGCACAATCAGACACAAAGCAGGAGAAACGTCCTCAAGTCACGTTGTTTCCTCATTGTAAAAATTAAGAGGCAAAGGTTCGTTATTAGCCAGAGAGGGTGAGCACTTTGCACCTACCACTTCCTCAAAACCACACAACTCTCACACCCTCTCCAAGGCCAACCTCACTGCGGCGTCTTTCCAGCGAGAGCCAGTTGTCGGGTGGCAGGCAGAATGAAGAGGAACGCAAACCAGACCGAACCTTCCTGCCTTGTGGGAAAGGAGATTTTATGCTTTTGAGGCTTTAAAGAAGAATAGTTTCTGTCACTGGCCCACATCCTTAACTGCCTCCAATCTGGAAAGCTCAGCAGTTTTTCCTCCCTCCCTGCACACCCCAAGAACGACTTCGAACAAGGCACTCGATTGAAGGAGGGGGTGAATCGGATCCCCGCTCCCCTGCTAGCGACGGAACGTGGGCACAGCGACACAACCGGCACGACGTTTCCGTAGGACTGATTAGCAGGGGAACATTATATAATATTTACCCATGTCTTAAGGGTTTGGCAATAATAAATTTACATTCATTTTTAAGGCACTTCACATAATGACCATTGTACTGGGTTTTAACCTTTCTAGAGGAAAAAAACCCAACATTTTGACTAAGAACTAAAATTATCCCCTGTTTCAGAGGTAAAAGGAATCAAATCATTCATTCCCCTCTGCACTTCTCAGGTAGGGCGCAGTGCCAGCTGTATTGCAATTAGCAGTAGGACCTCAATTAGCATCAGGATCTCAGCTCCGATGGGCATGGGCATCCTCGGGCTGGCTCTGGGAGCAGGACTGTAGCCATGGCAGCGGCGGGACCCATACCCGCCTGCCAGGCACCCAGCACCCATCCCCGCATTTCGGCTCCCCGAAATCCCTGCTGCTTCCTTGCCTCAGCTGCCTGCGTTAGCTCAGTGCTGAGCCGATCATCGTCCCTATGCTTTTCACTGACACGGGGAAGTTTTCTGTTCCAAATACAAATCTTCCTTCAAAGCCCTAACAACAGAGCCATCTCGGCACCAGCGTGCAATGCTATGCCTCTAGTGGAAATGCAGCTTATACCAGCGCAGAGATACTACAGTCAGTACTCCTCCAACTAAATTCCCCTGCCGGCATCGTTATATTTACCTAAGAGCCCTGCCTAGCTAGCAATGCAGTACGTGGAATTTCCAACTTCAGTTACATAGTAATATGGAATATTCTTTCAAATTAGTATTTTTCTTTCAGTTCATATCCCTCGGCCTTTATCACATCGTAAGGTACGAGGGGATTTAAATCTGTTCCGCACTGCACTTGGGTTTTTTCCCCCCCTACACAAAGAATGCCTCGCCCATGCTGCCGCACAGCTCTGCCCTCAGCCTCATTAATACTCATCCGAGCCGTTTCTCATACGCTAAAAAAACCCCGCTCCTTATAGATTCAAAGCTTGAAATCCTTATAAAGGATATTTGTAAGTCTGGCCAACAGTCGATCAATCAAGCACCTGATGAGGCTGGTTAAAGAGGGCCTCCACGAACAGCTTTGTTCCGTTGATGGTTATTTTACCCACGTTGCGCAGGACATGACAGATTGCACCTCTGCTTACCGAGGCGGCTCCGCAGCCCTGCTGGGACCTCGCTGCTCTGCAGCAGGATGCTAACACGATGAAATGGAAAAATATGACATCCAAATAGAGTCCTGGGTTCGGTCTCCTCTTTGAACTTACAATAGTCCCTCTCTAGAGAGGGAACGCTTAAGAGTTCAATTGAAAAATCATTTTTCTAGTTTCATAACCCTGGGCAGGGTGGTCAATCCCTTCTTAATTGGATCAGTTCCTCCACCCACTTTTCTCAAGAGCCAGTTTCACCTTCTGAGAAGGCTTTTTAATTTTTCTAAGACACAGCCTGACAGCAACCATCCTGCCAGCTAGCATAATTTGCACAGAAACTTCAGACTTTTAATCAGCAACACCATTCTTGGAAGAGGAATGTAAAGGGCAGCAAGTATAGCAAAAGATGCCCAAAGGAATGACAAAGTGACCAGAATCAGAGGTATGATTTTCATCTGCTATTCTAAAACATTTTTAAAACAGAAGCCAATTCAACAGTTTAACATAAATCTAATTTAGGAAAGAAACATAGTCTGGTATGAAAGTCAATACAAAAGCTCTTAGCACCTTGTAAAAATGCATCGATGCAATTAAAAGCTTATGTGAGCTGAAATTGTAAGATAGTAATAGCAAGAAATGAAAGAGCTAAACATTCTATTAGTCTGTATTATTTTTGAAAATGGATATTTACAAGCTATAAAGTTCTCAGACAATTCCTTTTAGATGCAGAAGAAATCAAATTTTACCCAATTTACCCACAGACTAAGTTTGCATCAATGGTATCCAAATATATTTGTAAAGAATTCAAAGCACCCGTTTTTAAAACCTAAGATGCTTACTCTGCTTGTCCAAAATCAATTACAGAAGCATTTCTGTAAAACGAGAGCCTCTTTTTGCACTGTCTTGTGAGTACAATTCTAAATACATTATATGCACTCATACTGCAAATTAACTCCTTACTGTGAAATAGAACTGCTCCGTCTCCTGCTGGTTGGCCCGTCTCTTGGCAATGCTCGGTTTGCTCATGAACGTTTCCGAGACAGTGGATTTAACAGACTCCATAGAATTGCTGTATTGAAAGCAGTCAGAGACATCAAAGTCCTCTATCGTGACAATATCCTGGATTGTCTGGAGTGTAGCTTCCATGGTCTTCTTAACCTGTCCGGCAAGAGCGAGAGTACTTAAAAAATGAAGAGAATACGTTGCAAGTAAAAAACCAGAGGTAGTGAGTACCCTGGAGCGTTGTACTAATAAACAGATATTACCGGTTTCACTGTGCGCCATAACTAAGGTGCAAGTTTTGCTCGTGAGCAGCACCGTCCACATTAACACATGGCTGGCAGCACACGGAACCTGCCAGGAGTGGGAAAACACCTGCAATCTTGCAGGCTGGGATGAGCAGGAGATGTAAGGCAATTTCACCTCAAAGCAAAGAGGGCTGGAACAAAGACCTTTTAATCATCTTCTGTAACTGCATCTACTGGGCATCAAATGTTAGACATCAAACCCAGGACTTTGCGGCACGGTAAATTTTTACTGAAGGCCAGAATCACTTCCTAGAGATAAAGGAGCTGCAAATTTTGCCCAAGGAGGATTAAAAATGCTTGAACACAGAGGTTCGGATTAGATATTTTGACCTCTTCCCAAACAAATGCCATTGATCTAGCCCTCTCATCTTAGATGGCCAATTAAACAAAAAGCAGCTCTTAAGATTAAGTTATGCAAATTCACTGTCTTCACTTCAAAACATTAAATTCCCCTTCTTCTATTAGCTATTCAAATACAACTTTCGCAATACAGACAGCCCTACCAACTTAAGGATGGGAAGAGAGAGGTATGTGTGGGTATTTTAAAGGATCCTCTCTGTGCACCCAGTTCTCACGTGAAATCACACCCCGATATACTGCTGGCCTCAGTTGCCTTATTCTTGAATTTCACCACCGGTCTTCATAGAAGAGGATCACAAAAACTAGACTCTTCCTTAATTAGTCCCCAGTCCCCACTGGAGGCAGTAAAAGGGTTGTTAATTTTGGTTGTTTCACTCACCTCCTCATTTTCAATCTTAAGTGTAGATAATCGAGACTGCAGTTGCTGGCACCTCTGCACTAACTCGCTCTGGACTGGTTGTTGGGCACACAGCTGCGACTCCTGGAAGAGAAACAGCAGTGCTTTCAGAGGGCTAGGAGAAAAACCCCATATAATCAAGAACCTTGCAAATAGTTCATTATATTATTCTAAAGAAACATCCTCCAAAGTGCTTCATTTTAAATCTTTGTAGCCCTGGATTTCAACCAGTGGAAGAGCCCCCTGTTCAACCAAACTGCAGTTCGCTTCCCAACTGTGCTGAAGAGCGAGCAAGAGAACATGAACATCAAAGAAGAACTAGAAAACATCAGCTACTTTCAGTAATGTAAGCTTGTCATGAGTTTTGGAAGTCTGAAGGCCCTCTATCATGGATATTAGGCTAAATCGCACCCTAAAACCTCAAGGAGAAGCGAGTGCACTTGTTAGCACAGCAAGAAGAATTTGGTTCACTGTATTATCCAGGCATCCTGGGGCAGGGGCATGAGTGGCTGAACTTGCTCATCTGAACTACCTGTGCACTACAGCAAAAGGTACAATCCACTGCTTAATGAATGCAGTGAAGTCAAAATAAAAAAGAACAGGTTAGGGACCTGTCCAATACACCAGAACAGTGGGCTTCCCTGCACCGTTAAGAATTAGTCTTATTTCACAGCATGAGGCAACCTTTCCTTTTAGTTTGTTTTGTTTGGTTGGTTTTTTTTTTTTTTTTTTTAAAAAGAAAAACATTTTCTTCATTGCGTAAGGCTGTTGTTTAAAGACAGAAATTGGAACTGGAGCCTTATCACGCACATACACATAGACTATCATATATTCCATCTGGTATATGCAGGACCATTGCAACCAAGACTATCAGCCTGCATTTATAACCACTCATTTGGCCTTGAGAAGAACCAAGACAAATGATTCAGCGAAGGCGAGCTGTTAACTGAATGACAGGCTGCAGGTAATTCTTTTTCTTCCCACGATCTTACAGGATACTACAAAAGCACAGAAAAACCGAGAAAGGTCATTTGCAGTCTGAGGGTTTCACTTAAGGGGGAAGAGACAAAGAGAAGCCTTAAGCAGCGACTGTAAGAAGAGGCTGGCTGCAAGAGACCATCCTTACAGTTCTTCTCAGCGTTCAAGAGTCTAAACTAGAAATCCAACCAATTGACCTAAATTATTACATTGCACATGTGTTCCCATTTAGATTTGTAAACTGGTTTCAGCTTGTGCGACTTTAAGCAGTTCCCAGATGAGTAACCACATCTTGATAAACCTATAAAGAGATTTTCATTGCCAAAAATGAAAGTCCTCTGACTGCCTTGCCTCACAATGAAGATGCATAAAGTGCCACCATAAACCATTTGCGCTCTAAGATTACACACTCCAGTGCCGCAAAACCCAGCATTTAAGTCTCCTTATCTTGTTGCCCCTTCCAATCTCTAACTTCAGAGTCTGTCTCCGGGTGGAGAGGTTAACTGTGGCTTGAACAAGAGGTTAAAACAGTGTTTCCTATCTACATGTAATATTATACCTAATGAAGAGTTTTCATCTTCAGTAGCTTTGATAGTCAAAAAGTAAGAGTCAGTTGTATTCAGACATCTGTGCCATGAATCTCTGCTTAATCGTCAAATCAGCTCCCTTTTCCAAGGCTCCCTTCTACCTCCCAAAAATAGAGCCAAGCAGGTGGCCTTTTAGTGGGCCTATCTATCACAGATGAGGGAAGTAAACAGGCGAAGCTGCAAGTGTTTACAGAGCTAGAGCCAGAGGAGGAACATAAACTGACCATATCACCCATATGTGGCTGAAACTCGAACTTCATGGGCGGACAGAAGACGTTGTTGTACATCTCCATCAGGCGCTGCTTATCACTGTTGGCATCCAGGTTCTCAACAGCGTTTTCAATGGCATCCAGACCCTCATGCTTTGACTGCTCCAGGTTTAGCTCAGCAGACAAGAATGTCCTGAGAGCTCTGTTGAGGCTAGCGTGGTATCCCAGGTCACAACACTGCTGGAAAAAGACACACAATTCCATATGAGTAAGCAAAGAAATCCTGTAATGGAAATTAAAATGTTTCCGAAGCCAGAAGTCATATAAATGGATTACAAGTCGTGGGTATTTTATCATCTTCTGGGTACCAGAGGGGTCTCACATCTCTCTCTGACCACAGACGCATCTTGAAAAGGGGTCCTCAGAGCTGGCCCTAAACAGAATTCTCAACCTCTAATACCATACGAATTTCAACATCATGTTAGAATTAGTCTCCAGCACAAGTACAGCTTAAACTTTTACAACATTTTGCGGAGTTCTCGTGGAGAGTTCATTTCATGCTGTTAAAAAAACCAAAAAGTAACCCAGAAGTGGGTTTGCTTAGATTCTAACCTTACTTTCAGGGGCGCTGATTCCCATTGAAACACTCCAAAATCCTTAAATAAAATTATTCAAAGAAAGAGGAAAAAAAAAAAAGGCACTGAAATACTACCGGGAGAAACAAGACACAGGATTTGGGTCATCTGCAAAGGTTCATCTGCACCTCAATTATCCCACCCAAGATAGAGAAAACAGCTTAATTCAGTGTACTTCAGGAAGCAAGAACATGACCTGTACATCACAGGCATAAAGAACAGAGTCATCCAAAAAGCAAGCAGCGATCAGTCGGGATGACTTCATTGCTGGGGTGAAACAGAAGAGCAAAAACTTGCAGGCAGAAAGCGGTCGTGGTCAAGAATTTCCTGGCGATTACTGCCACCAGGATGATGTCACTGGAAGACAATCAAGCAGCTTCATCCCCACCACGGCTGCGCAGCCAAGCCTTAATGTTTCAGAAGGGAGAAAGGCGCTTTTCATTAGCTGATCAGAAACAGCCTCAATTTTTCAGACATCTAATAAAGCGAGCGAGAAAGGAGCCCACCTTCTTGGAATTACAAGCAAGATTACATACGCTAGGAGAATATCCAAAGAGAAAGAGACCATCTGCTTGATTGCTGTGCTGCTCTGTAAGCAAAATTCACATGAAATCTCCTCCTCACCCATCATTTGGGTCTCATCACTGTGATTGTGTGCAAACGCCAA